TTTCTGTCTTTTCCACTAAATTACAGTGCAAATCTAAAACTAAGTATACCTATCGAGGGAGGGTTAAATTTCTCATCTCCATGATGGAAAACCAAAATTTATTACGTAGATTTAACAAGTGAAAAATTAGGTCAAACTTTACATCGTGAAGAATTTTAAAAAATTTCATTTTTTTTGTATTCGTTATCCGGTTTCAAAGACATAGTTTTTTGGCGGGCACTCTTCGGGAGAAACTTCGTCGAAGTCTCAGCTTTTGAACGGTATTGTCAAAAAGAATTGTCCGGTGGTATTTTAGGAAGAAAATAACATATATATGTATATACAGGGTGTCCCGAAAATGTTGGAAATCCTTGAAAAGGGTGGTTTAGGGGGTGATTTGAAACAACTTTTTCCTTAGCGAAATTGTTGACCGAGGGTTCGTTGAGGAGATATTAACGGAAAACACTGACCAATCAGAGCGCGCGTATACTGTTGAAGCGGCCGCGATAGCGATGGCTACGCGCTAGGTAGTCGCTCTCGTACGCGAACAAGTGACTCGACGTGCATCGAAGGATATTGACGCGGCCGCTCAGCGCGTAGCCTTCGCTACCGCGGCCGCTCCAACGGTATCCGCGCGCTCTGATTGGTCGGGTTTTTTTTATTAATATCTACTTAACAAAGCCCTATCCGACATTTTTGCAAAGGAAAAAGTTGTTTCAAATCACCTCCCGAACCACCCCTTTCAAGGACCTCCAACATTTTTGGGACACCCTGTATATATGATAATACACACACATATGACATATATATATCGTAGCTGTGCGCACTAGCGCCGCGAGTGGACGAAATATTCATAACTTAAAGCCCGGGATTTTGATAACAGTTTTCTAGTAACTTTCGTATGGAGTTGGATCTCCTTATACAGTCTTCATGATTTACACCATATGTTTGTGCGATGCTCTGGATTGTTTTTGTTTGCGTTAGACCCCCCTAGGTGGCGCTGGATTTGGACGAAGATCGTAGATTGGAACTGTATCAACTCTTGTACATCTGTGTACATCTTTAACGAAGATTCGTTGATCTTTCATTGAAACAACACACGGGCAAAAATAAAGAAAGGGAGAATTCCATCGACGTTCCTTCCAGGTAGCCGTGACCTCCTCCTTCTCCTTTCTCATCGTTGGTATCAGGCTACGTTATTTTCGTGCTGACTCCGTCGCCTCGACGAGGCAACCTTTCAAATTCAATTTTCATCCGATTGCCCCAACTTAACCGAACGGGAACGTCCATAACGTGGTTGAAAAACGATCATCGACAACTACGGCCGAAACTTTCATCCGGATTTTTGTATTATCTGGTTAATTGGAATATTTATATATCCGAGTAACTCAACAAAATATCCGATATAAAATAAATAGAATTTCGTCTCTAGCTTTGTCTATACACATAAATAAGGATTGTCAGTCCCCCCCCCCCCCCTCCACTTTCTTCACACTACAAGCGTATGTCTAGTAGGGTGGTCGTTATTCGAATACTTCTTTAAATCCATGTTATGCACCTTCTATAGTAAGTACCTTCCAAATACATGCAAAGAAATATCTGCAAAATTTGACCTCTTAATTTTAACATTAACACCTTGCCCATACCTTCGAAAATTTTCAATGGAAAATACATGTAATTTTTGTCAATCGGTTATTTTTTAGTTTATAATTCCGGTAGATATTAGTGAAATGATTATGTATATTCGAATATTCAGACTTTCATGGAAGAAATTCGAATATTCGAAGCTCGGATTACGAATACTTGGAGATGTCGTTATCCGGATATCCGGATATTCGAGTGGCTCCTACCCCTATCGGCGACGACTGCAGCGACCGTCGTGGAACCACTGCCACGCACCTATGCATCACGAATTTTTCTTCCAAGAAAAGAGCACGGTGGCAAGGCGGAGAAAGAGAAATACATAATCGTAGACGAAAATAAAGAAGGCGAGTCAAGGGAATTCCAACGAGTTCCTTCCTGGTAGCCCCCAGCTTCCCCTCGGCCTCAGTTTCTTCCTCTAACAAAAGGAGGCCTTCGGAAGGGGAAGGGGAGCTGGCCTCGTGGGCGACTCTCGCGTTCCTAAACTGCATTCCAACCTGCGTTGCCACGTCTCGTCGTAAGCACGCGGAATACACGCACAAACGTACACGCGTGACCGGCCACGCACACGCGCGAACCAACGTGCGTAAAGGCTCGCGCAACAAGGAACAATCCCACGGGTGGGGGCGCATCCAGAAAATCAACTCTTCGTAAACACATATTCTGGTAAACACCTTCCACGCATCTTTCTTCTTTCTTCGTTAGATTCTTTTCTTTCCATCACTTATACGGAACTTGACGCCATTCCTTTCTCCGCGTCCGAGTTACTCTAATCGTGAGCCGACGGGAGCCGCACGATTCGTTCACGTTGTCAGCTATCAACGTTCGACCCTTTAATCTGCTGGTTTGTTTCGCGTTTGCCTCTGCTGGCATGTTAGACACACACACACACATGGCAACGTACATTTTGGTTTGAACGACGCGCGAGGAGGTTGGAAAACGCTTTGGGTCTTTTTAACCCTTTGCACTCGAGAGGTGACTCTCAGTAGTACGTTCTAGGTTTCCTTTAGGTTTAATTTCTTTGGAACTTGAAGTGCCAATAAAATGATTATCGTTGAGGCAAAGGTGACCTGATTTTCAAATCTCATTTTCGAAGCTTCTTAGCGTTCGTGACACTAGAATGTTAAGAAAGCATCTCGAGTTGCTGATAGATACCAGAAAAAAAAAGCCTCGAGTGCAAAGGGTTCACTTAAGGCTTACGACACTTTTCTAACTCTCTCGGTAGCTTTCAGAAGGAGGTAGATTGAAGAATCACCGAGTCAGTGTGAAATTGGATCTCAACATTTTATTTACTGTGTCGATGCTTGTGTATTTACAATGTGTTCAGTGTTTGGAAACAGACTTGGCTTTCAATGTAGCCAGTAACAGTATTGTTGGGATTCTGGTGAGGAACGTGGAGACCGATTTGTACCCTTACAAATATATTTCGGACGTTTCAAAAATATAACTCTGGATACTTGCGGAAAGAAAATATCAGACTGACGCGCAGAAGGATCGAAAACAAAAGTGCTCTGTTCTGAACATTTCTGAATCTTATAACCTAGACCTGTTGAGTTGAGAGGGGTTAACTATGACCCTTGGTACTGGATGACCAACTCGTCTAGGATGAGTCTAGGAAGTTTTCTTAAGGGAACCCTTTCGACGCCATTCTTCGTGACGCAATACGGCGAGCAACACGTACGAAACAATATTTCACCTTGCCTCAGAATTTCGCTCTGCCCCGGTTTCCCTTGCGTGCCTCTGAATCCTTGCCGTGTATTTTTCAGTTCATCCCTCAAATTGTGACCCGTTTTTCTCTTTTTCACCTCGCTCCCGACATCCGGAGAATCGACGAGCTTGAGGTTAAAGGGGGACGATAAGCTGGTAAAAAATGGAAAACCTGTTCCTCTTCCTGTCTTGAGATGAGACGGTGGTCATTACATGCTTGGGCGCACACGAAGGTCTCGAATATAGGTACCTGCCACTGGCCGTGAGTATCACGAGAGGCTATTCGAGGGATATGAGAAAAGTCTCGAGTCGACCGGAAGCATTCCGATAGGCCGCCTTATATGTACCGGGAAAGATGAGCGCGCGTGTACCTTCTTAAAACAAAAACCGTAAAAGATTCGACAGTGAAAAAGTCTCGAACGCTTCATGCCTTGGCGAAAATGCAGCATCTTTATCCTGAGCTTTTTATAAAAACGGCTGGCCAGATACCCCTAATGTTTTGCACTTTTTTTATGCCCATCAGCCCCCATCATTTGAGTCCGGTGTCGTTCAAAAACCGCTCGTCCGGATCGCGACCTTCCCTTGTCAGTGATTCCCCAACCTATTGAAACCTACTGAAACCTACTGAGAGAGTTGGAAAAGTGTCGGTAAACTTGTTGGATGACCAATCTATTGACGAACTATAGATAAAGATATCGGAATCAAAGTGTCAACACAAAAAACTAGTGTTTTGAAAAGGTCTCATAAAAAATGAGGTGTTCCGTTAAAAAAAATCATGTTGACCTTGACGTGACTTTGACCGCTCCTTTGAAGGTCAAACGGACACGAACGTTCAATAGAATTTTTGGAAATCCTAAAACATTTCTCTAAACCATTTCTCTCACAAATGTTCCATTTTGGAAATATTTAACTGTTTCCATACATCTGGAGCACCTTGTATGTATACATGTGTATACAGGGTGTCCCAAAAGTCGGGGAGGAGCCGGAAATGGGGGGTAGCTGAGACGATTCTGAACAACAATTTCCTTTGCAAAAATGTCGGATGGGGCTTCGTTAAGGAGATATTAAGAGAAAACCCTGACCAATCAGAGCGCGCGTAGACCGTTCGAGCGGCCGCGGTAGCGAAGGCTACGCGCTAGGCGGCAGCGTCAATGTCCTTCGATGCACGTCGAGTCACTTGTTCGCGTACGAGAGCGGCTACCTAGCGCGTAGCCTTCGCTACCGCATCCGCTCCAACGGTCTACGCGCGCTCTGATTGGTCGGAGTTTTCTCTTAATATCTCCTTAACGAATCCTCGGACAACAATTTCGCTAAGGAAAAAGTTGTTTCAAATCACCCCCTGAACCACCCTTTTCAAGGATCTCCAACATTTTTGGGACACCCTGTATACATGCGTTATACATATGCATACAAATATAACAATAGTAATATATGTCTATATATTATTTCCGTTTAGTTATTCACTCATAAATTTCTTTAAAAAACTAAAAAACTACTGGACCGAATTAGAACAAAATCTAATCAGCTCTAAGTTAGGTGGATACACGTCGATTGCATCATCGATCATTTTGAAAAATTTGTTCACATACGTACATACATACATACATACGCGCACACGAATAATTTGTTAAAAATAGGCTAAAATTACTCCGACGACCTTGAAACATGGTGATCTGCTAAAAAATCGATTTTTCATTTTAGGGGGAAATACAATAACTTCCCTATAAATCGGGAAGTCAATTGGAACGTAATAATTAATAACTTCACGTCTGCCATCTTGAGTTTACGAAACGAGAAATATTTTTTAACGATTTCCGCTCTTCCCTAACGTTTATTGCGTACAATTTATTTGGAGTAATGGACAGGCTGCTAGAAAAATATAAGAAAGAGATAAAAGATTGAAAATGAGAAGGAAGAGCTTGGTATACACGATTCGAAGCAAAGGAGCCGCTGTCCGTTCAGTAGGTACACCTGCATCGGAGACGAAGCAGTGTTGATAATCCGCCTTATCCTAAAACAGGATCGGCCGTGAGATTCCGTGGGCGTGTCGGGACATCTTAAACCTGGCCAACAACCGCATCTTCCTTACATTTCACCACACTCATTGTCAGCTTTCCTCCCCTCGATTCTCTCGCCGAATCTCCGTTCTTCCTCTTTCCCTCGCTTTATTTTCTTTTCGCCGTCCTCATCCTATCCGAAAAAAGGAAATAGGTTCAACGCGTATGGGTGTGCCGTTCAATCGTAGACATGGATGAATCGTCCTCGAATCAAAGTAAATAAATAATCGAAAAAATAATTTATTACAAATCTTGACAAAAATGTGATTAGCAGATTTGTAAGCGTCTAATGATACTGATTATTTTTAGAATGGGAATTAAGATTTAGCGTTAAACCAAAATAATAAAATAATGTAAACGCTAAGATTGCAAAAAAAATTCAGATTTATTATAAATATCGGCAAAAAGAGTGATTACGAATCGTATAAATCTCTATAAATATTATATTAGATTGTCACGAAAGTTTCTTTCGCGAGTTGCGCTCAATTATTTGATGTGGTCGTGTTTATATAAATAGACGATCTAATTTCATACATATTCATGTTGTAACAGTAACGGAGCAAAATGAATCGTGCACAATTCAGTGATGTAACATAAAGCATAAACTATTGTGCATGTATTACTTATTAATAAAGCAAAAGAAACTTTTGCGACAAGCTAATATTTTGTAGAATAGGAATTAAGATTTAGTGATACGCCAAAATAAAATATTACTAGTTTAGTGTATTCGTAATTTTTTCTTTTATACTTTCTTTTTGTACTTTGCTATATCTTGATTTTTATGTACATAAATGTCAACAGTTTAACTGTAATACTCAAAGAATGCGATAGTTGTTGGATAAATGTTCAAAAGGCGAAACCGACAGCCGCTATGAAAGGGTTAAGAACGCAGAATTATGGGGTACGGTTCACCCATCCCTCGATAGAAGTAGTAGTATACTTACCAGAAGAGTCGCTGCGCAGTTCTATTGTTATTCGAAACGCCACCTGTTGGACATCGGTACATCTTTATCTATTTCTCTATTTGTTTTGTCTTTTCTTTTCTTTCTTATAGTACAAAAAAAACATGTTCTTTTAATTTCCTAAAAATTTGAAGAAATGGAGCTGCATCCTTACCAACGCACACCTCTCATTACCTGCTGAAACTAGAATATTTTCGATGTATGCAAAATTCGAATTTTGCCAGCCAAGAAAATCGTAATTTTTCATCAGTAATTAAAAATTATTCTACTTCAGTCGATAACCATATCCACATAGACTAAGAATATCTTTGGCCTTTTTTTTTTTTTTTTTTAAGTTGAAATAACTGCAATTGTTTACATCGTAACACCCATGATCAGCAATTTTTTTAACGATTCCACACAATCGCACTATAACTCGATAGCAAACTATTATTTTCACTTGAACAAAATTTAGCTCACTGTTTCAGTATCGATCGATAGACACGCAGGATTTTAAAACAATTCATAGCGTAGTTATTTGTTTAAAAGATTCCAAATATCGCCACATTTTTCGGCCGCTAGACTAGCACGGCATCTTGACAATGTTAAAAAAAGTGATCGATATTACACGGGAACAACTGATACGTTATCAGTTGCTTCGTGGGATAGGTTTTACTGACAATGAAATTCATGTTTGCTGTGTTTTGCAGACGAGAAGATCGTCGACGGTGGCCGTATACGCATGCTTAGGTGCGTCTTGGCCGTTTATTTTGAATTTGTCGCGAGTTCGATGACCACCGACGGCAAACGACAACCGCAAAGAAAGGCTGTACCCGCATAAGCATTCCTACGTACATATACGTGTTTCACAACGCATAAATGCACGACGTGCATTCGTAAGCTTTGTTTGTTGATCTCTCCTATTTCGATATTTCTTTCTGTCGTTTTAACTTTTCGCCGTATGCAAATACGTCCAATCATTTTCCTTTCTCACAGTGAATGCTAGCACACCCATCCCTCGATACGCACCATTGTTTCTCAACTTGGAAAAATATTGCCTTTTTCGAAATGGAAAAGGGACGGACGGTCACTTTGCGCAGACAAATCATAAAAACATTGTTTAATACATTTCAGCCATTGCTGATGGACATCAAAGGTTTAATTAAGGCGTTTTCGGTTTACCTCGCAACACGTCATCCATTCGACATAGCAAGGAAACATTCGGCGTTACGTTAGACAAACTATCCATCTAATAAAGATTAAAACCCGAGTTGATTCCAACGTTTTGTCCAGCAGGAAAAAGAATTTCAATTCCTTTCATTCGTGACTGGAACTGCAAAGGCGTGATTCACTATGTCTTTTCAATCAAGAAGCGAGCCAGAGATTTTATCTCTGAAACTTCCGTTCTTTGCAAAATCAGGAAATCTCGGTCTTTTTTTTCAAAAAAGATCAGCCGTGTCTCACGCATCTATGAATGAAGACCCATTTGCATACGGTTTCGTATGGAAATTAACCCGTGGGGCGCGTAAAACCTGTTCCGAACGGTACGCTAAAACCGATCCTTAACTTCAACGACAAACTATCACTGACAGTTTCATTTCGGTGCGAAATTACATGTAATTCCGTTTCGAAAAATATTTTGATCGCCTCTACGGCTACGCGCTAGGCGGCTGCGCTCATACGCTACCTCGGGCGCTCCACCAGCGTACTCGCGCTCTGATCGGTCGGAGTTTTCTATGAAAAAAATGCGAAGACTGGGAAAAGAAAGTTTCTTTAAGAAACCGAACAGTTGTTTACAGCTTAGCGAAAAATGCGAATAATTATGATAGGGGAAAAAAAGTAGCGAATGTACTCCCCTACGACTTCTGCTCGCGATAAACCTGCCATTTTAGGTGCTGCACGTAACGCGTGTCTTACATCATGGGACATTGCTCGCAAAGCTGCCGTTGTAACTAATCCTAGCGAAACATAAGGAGGATCGTGTCGGCTTTGCAAAGCGACGTACATATACAGCGTTGAAAGAAGAACTGGCGATGAATTATATTCAACGATGAAAAACGTTTCAATCTGGATGGTCCAGATGTTTCTGACCACTATTACCACCAGGTAGGAAAGGAAGAATTGTCAAAGATGCGGCATCGAATGGGCGGTGGTACAACAATGATTTGGACGGGCATAGGATGTAATGGTAAGACTGGTGTCGTTTTTGTTGGTAGAGGAACGAATGCCATTACTTATCGTAATTTAATACGACAACAAAGTAACAAGTATCCGATATACAGGATGTCCCAAAAATGTTGTAACACATTGATAGAGATGGTTCGGGAGGTGATTTGAAACAACTTTTTCCTTAGCGAAAATGTTATCCGAGGCTTCGTTGAGGAGATATTAACGGAAAAGACTGACCAATCAGAGCACGAGTATCCCGGCGGAACGCCCGCGGTAGGCGTAGGCTACGCGCTAGGCGACCGCCCTCCACCAGCGTACTCGCGCTCTGATTGGTCCGGAGTTTTCAGTTAATATCTCCTTAACGAAGCCTCGGATAATATTTTCACAAAGGAAAAAGTTGTTTCAAATCACCTCCCGAACCACCCCTCTCAACGACTTCCAATATTTTTAGGACACCCTGTATACTGGTGGTAGTAATTTTATTTGTCAGCGCGATAACACTGCAGTTCATATCGCTAAAACTGTAAAAGATTATATATCATCCGAATAAAGGAAAGATGCTAAAAAATGGCAATTTCTGGACCGGGTTGGAAACGAAAAATTCATGCACGACAAGGACATCCATATAGCAAACAACTTCTTTATATTAGATAAACTGGAAAGTCATGTCGTTTCTTTTATATTAAATTCAAACAAATTTGTAATAAATTTCTATTTTTAATCAATTATGTAATCGCTCTCGTTATCAACAGCGTTTCGAGTGGACTGCGGACATTTATTAGCGTGCAATATTTTGAAAGGCAAATCGGTAAATGAATGAGCTAATGATCGTTAAACAAGTATTTAAAATTACAAAAACGACATTACTATCCCATTCCACCTAATAAGAAAAAATTACAAGGAATAAATGATCTATCTATTTATCTCTCTAGTCAATAGATCGCGATGTTTTTATAGAAATTTCGTCCTCTATATTTCGATTTACATTTTCACGGGATTTAGATGGAAAACGCGAAGAAAACAGTTGCTCCCTTTCAAATTTTCGCAAGTTTATTCTGCGTAATCGCTGGCAAACTTCACTAGGCACCCGATGTCCCGTCAAAGAGGAGATTCGAGTGCAAGGGTTGAAGTTGCTGTGCGCGAAACGGCAAGAGGACTGGAGCGCCTTCGAAAACATCTTACGAAGCTGGCGAGGATTTTCCCACGACTCCTCCTACGGTCCGCACAGAATCTTTTCGAGGTCCTTCCTCGCCTTTTAGTCCCTCACCTCAGCCCCGACGCCGACGGTTCTCTTTCTCGCGCACGAATCGCATTGACCGACTCTTCTTCTTGGGACGCGGCGCTCACTCGGTCATGTAACGGGAATGGAAGGAAAACGCACTCGAATTCCCTTTGATTCGGTCGCACAATGACGCCTTTCGTCCGAACAATGGTCATGCGAGGGTAAGATACGTGCTTTTCAAAGGTATTCGGCAACACGACGAAGTTGAGGAAATCAGGCCCGCAAAAGACGAACTACCTGCCGTCGGGTCGGTCCGCGGCCCGAAGAAGAAGAGGGACAGGAAAACGACAGCCGAGGAAGAGAAGTCGTGCGACGGCGGCGTGGAAGGGAATGATTTCGAATAAAAAGGGAGGCACGAGAATGAAACGTGCCGGAACAGGGCACCTACGTCAACATACCGGTTACGCGCGTGAGCATCATCCCCCTCGCTTATGGGAGAAAATTTTCTCACGAAAGAGGAGGAGCGTGGTAGTCGACTTTGTCGAAGACGAACGAAAAACGATCCTTTCATGGACCGCGATCGTTCTTTTTTTTTTTTTTTTCCTCTCTTCTCCTATTTCTTGAAGGAGTCAGGAAAGACTACGCGCTACGACGAAACGGAATATGGATAATCGGTCGGTCGGTCGAGAAAGAGGGGGGAGAGAGAGGGAGGAAGAGAGAGAGAGAGAGAGAGAGAGAAAGAGAGAGAGAGAGAGAGAGAGAGAGAGAGAGAGAGAGAGAGAGAGAGCGTGATATTACTAAAAAAATTGTAGAAACTTTGAAACTACAGTGACGAGCAAAAGTGTAAACACATCTGCCCGCAAGTCTCTGACAACATTTTCGCTAAGAAAAAAGTTGTTTCAAATCACCTCCCGAACCACCCTTTTCAAGGTGTTACAACATTTTTAGGACACCCTGTATATATATATATATCGTAGACTGTGGTCACTTGCGCCGGGAACGGTAGAAATATTCATAACTTAAAGCTCGGGATTTTCATAACACTTCTACACTACACAGTTAGGACTCCTTATACAGTCTTCATAATATTATCGTACATTACATATCATACATCATTTTAGTAACTTTCTTAGGGAGTTGGATCTCCTTATACAGTCTTCACGAAATAAAAAGAAATGTTAGAGACATCGCGCCCACGTTCTTATTGAACAGACTGTAGAGAAAAAGCGTGAGAGAGGTGTGAAAAAAGGGAAGACGAAGCGAGAAAATGAAATTACCGGAGCCGCGAGAGTAGTGTCCCTCTATTAGTATTTACGTAGAAAATGTCAGACCGATAAGTGATTCGCAGCGTTCGCGCTTCTACCGCACCTTCGACTCCCGCTTGCGTTGCTTACGTTACTTACGTTGCTTACATAATAAGCGATGAACTCTCGACTAACTCTTCTCTTCGCCCTTCCCCTCCCTCCCTGCCGCCCCGGTCCGCGGTTACTTCCCCTCTTTTCCTGCTCGTCTCGTTTTCTCGCGATGGCACACGATCGCATCGCGATGGAGGCACGATCAAAACCTTCTCCGCCGACAGCACGGAGGGAAAACGGTCTCGAACGGGAGGGAGCAGAGAACGGGAGATCGACATTATGCCAGAGAATTTCTCCTGGCGATTCTCTTCGTTTCGACAGTCAGCGCCGTCGCCTGTCTTCATCTCATCGCTTATGCGATAACTTTTGCGCAACTCGATTAGGTTGGTTCGCGCGACGAGCACAACCTATTCCGCAATTGTCGCGACTAAGAACGTTGCTGCAGAACGGTTGTTGGAAAGAGCGACCGTCGAGTAGCAAAAATCTCCGTCGCTTCGAACGTCTTTTATCCTTTGGAAAATGTCGGAATCCGGAGTGCTTTCTCGAAGTACTTGGCCGAGAAGGATGTCGAAAGGAAGCTGTAAATATAATGAGAAACTCGCGCGACCCGCTGACGTCCCTTCTCTTCTTCCTTCGAGTCGAAGAAGCTGGTGAAAGACGCGAGTGAACCTTTAGGCGGCCGATCCTCCTCGTAGATTGTTTCATAAGCGTTCCCGATACGGAAAAGTTCATCCGCTCTTACCGAGTGCAACGAGTTCGAGCTGTTGCGCAAGCGATCCGATGCCGAGGACTGTTCGCTCGCTCGATCACACAGTTATTTGCTTCTCTGCCTACTCACGCGTATCCGTATTCATATCTTTGACACGAATGCATACGTAAATACGGTGTTTCGGAAGTCGTGCCAGAATCTTCGAAACGGAACAACTTCCAATCGCTTTGTGTATACCGAATGTTTTATCGTGATTATTTATTTTTGTACTGGGCGCCTTCGTTTAACCTCTTCGGGGATTTTTCTTGTTGTTATCAAAGTTTTGTTCTTTTTGTTGTTGACAGTAATTATAATTATAAACAAACTAAACGTCCACGTATGTAGCCAAGGCCGCGAAGAGGTTAAGGATCCAGTCTAGGGGCTTCTTTGGCAATTGAAAAGAGAAAAAACAATAATAAATGATTTTGTATTTAACAGTTTGAAATTGGCATTTATATATACGCTACCACTCAAAAGTATCTGGACACTTGGTATTTTCAAGAAATCTGTAGTACACGATGTAAGTTATTATTAGACTGCGGATCTTTATGCAAAATAAAATCTTTGTAAACGTACCTACAAAAACTGAACCTAAATAGGAATTTATTTTACTCTGAAAGTATTGTAATATGAACTTTACTTTCAATATGTTTTATATTATTGGTTGCTGTGTCCATTCTATAGTTTCTTGCACGTTCAGATTTTCTATAAATGCATAAAAATCCGCAGTCTAGTTATTATCGTTATGTGATTTTAATTAAAAAATGCTGTAACAAGTATGGATTTAATATACAATAGCAGTATTTCATTGAATAATTTAATCACTTAAGTTGTTTAAATAACAGAAAATGTATGGGATGTATTTGCGCCGCATTATATTTCGTGAGAATCGTAACAAACGGAGTGGAACAATATTAAATTAATATTATCAACCCATAAAAATAACAAAATAAATAGTCAGGATGGCAAGGCTGGTAAACGCAATTATAGGAGCACGCGGTGGTTACGTCGATGAAAAAATGCTAATTAGTTCCTATCGTCTTTTATGAAATATTTAATGAATTATTAGTCAAATATATGTATATTGATTATAATAAAAAATAGGATATATAATATTCAGTGAAATTCATGAATGATTTCATAACGTTTTCAGATAGTTACTATTAGAATTAAGAAAGTGGCCACATACTTTTAATCTGAAGTTTACGTTTAAATATGAGAATACAAATTAACTTTTAACCGTAATTTCTACAGAATAAAATTGCAAAGTAACTCTACGCCATGTACATAGTAGACTATATTTTAACCTAGAACGAAAGATAT